TTTCTCGCTTTAATGCAAGCACTGTTTCTTCCAGTTCAAGATCATTCTTGGATACACTTGGTTCATCTGTCTCATTAGTTAACGGCATTATGTCCCTTAGCAAATAAGCTTTGTTTACTGTTTTTGCTTTATTTTTGTTCCAAAGTTATATTTAAGAAATTAATAATTTCACCATAAAGTTCCACAAATATATCAACAAATCAGAATCAATAACTTTAGTTTGTACTCACGCGTCCATTAAAAATTACTGTTTATCCCTTGCTTTCCTGGCTATCCCCAACCATCAAGTACGTGTCACGGTATATTTAATACTTTATTAATATAAACTGCCGTCTAATTCCAAATACCTCGTAAATTTGCTATAATTCAATGTAATTATATCGTAGAAACACCCAATAAAGTTTAAAAACAAAGCCGAGTTTACCATAAATTTATAAAACGTCCCCGAATATTGTTCCAATACCGATACAACTACGAATAAACGCTGTAAATACGCCAACAGTCCTCGAGCACGATGTTGTGAAATTTTCCCCGATTTTAACCACGAAATTCACTTTAAAAACCCCAAATTCCTCGAACTGTCCTGACAGGATCGCCAAATGTTGCGATGTAACGATATTTAGCCTCGAAAAGTACTCGATTTAGTACAAAAACAGTGAAAATAAACTTTAATACGAAATTCCTACACGAGTTTACTGTTTACTTAGCGTTCTTTTCTATAGTACACTGATCTCAATAATCCACTGATTGTCTGCGCGCGTGTCCCGCGTTTTGCGTGTAAAAGTCATATCTCTTCTAAACAAGTGCCATACGATAATAGGGTCGCGCTGAGAAAGAGTTAACTAACGTCACAGTCACAGTCACACCATAGTTAATAGATGGTTTGGAAACTCATTAGAATAACTCATTATCTATGTCAGTCATGATCAACGTTTATTCATAAATATGATCCTTCACCGTCACGTGTGTATTGTATTTTTGCCAAAATCCACTAATAGCAATTTCCAATTTAAGGCTATATTTCCACTCAGGAAAATTATCCATGGATTGAAACGGACAAGAAAATTTTTCTTTGTCTTGTGAGCTCTGGGTTGGAACAAACGACTTCAACACAAAGAAAAATTTTCTTGTCCTTTCCAATACACGGATAATTTTCCTGAGTGGAAACTAGCCTAATAACTCCTAATCACCCTATTACTTCTTTCAGTTTCGAAAATACCATTGTTTACAATGCAATGCATGCAGTCACTCATGCATTGATATTGTAATTAATTTAACTTACTGTATTACAGAATTTATACAAAGAGTCCATCATAAATTATGCGATTATTGTAAATGCCTTCTAAGCAATAATTTTGCCGGCATGAAACGTAGGTCGACAAGAGTTCAACTCTCTGATTCTTGGGATAAAATCGGCTCCGTATCTCCTGTTGTGATAATATTTCCAATGTAACTTCCACATGTTGTCGGCTCATCGTTCATTTCATCCTCACAACTTGGATTAATCTGTAGCACCACCGATGGCCCTGGATCTTCATTCTTCGCGAAATCAGCAGCAACCTCAGTACTTACAGGAGTGTTTGCAGTTGAAAATATCACAGCATTGTCCTGGCGCCTCTTCCAACACTTTCTGGCAAAGAACACGATAAGCATAAATATTGGAAATATCAAGATTAGAGCAATGATGACGAATATCCCGGGGTTGCGTATAGACTTTTCCGATTCGAGGTGCTCGCTGACTTTAGGGACATTGGCAAACCAACAGAGAGCAGTGGTTATAATAGCCAGTATAAATATGACTGTAAGGATCACATAACAAAAATGAATCTTATAGCACGACATTTGAGGACAAGGCCAGTGCACGACGCAACAAGCTGGTATCTGATTCGTTCCTTCCCGGCCCGGCGATTTGAATCTGACAACCATCGTCGCACACTGCACTTAATCGTTGGATATTTTCAACACCGTGATTGACAAAATTTCGTTGATTAAATGGCGTTATTGAGACCGGACTCATATCAGTAGATGGCTCAGATTTAACATTTACAATTTGGCCATGAACATCCGTTGTTTCCAGACCTTCAAACCTCTCGACAAGAGAAACAAGATCATGTCTGTGTATGGCATTTAGGACTTCCTTCAAGTAATCAACATTTTCTTCGCTAATGCGACGATTATGACGAAGATGGGTAAACAAATGGTGACCACTTGTTATGGTGGGTTTACGACTTTTCTCAATCCTACAGATGTGAACGAGATCTTCCAAGTCGTTTGGATTCAAATCACGACTTATCTTTTGCAATAGAACATTGAATTTCTCCATGAAAATATACCGTTAGTGAATATTTCGCTTTTGATATAACATATTGCATGTATATTATATACTACAGAGAAAATGGTATTTTCCCTTATACATGAATACTGCACTGCAGGAGCCAATAGAAATTTGGCAGCATGATCGCGAGGATAATGTCGGACATGCATACTTGTTAATGACCATAAATTATCGTTTTCATTTAAACACCCACGTTTGTTGCGTTGCCGTATTGTGGCGTTCAATTTTTAACGGCACAAGGAAAAAAGCATAAAAAGGTATATAATCAAAATTTTAACAATCTTGCATGATCATCAGTGATGATCTCTTTCCTGGTAATCCTCCCAAAAGTAAGCGACGAGAGTATATCTTAGTTGATAAACTCGAAAGATTTGTGCCAGCGTAAGTAGTGCGAACTGCGGACAAAAACGTCAGAAAATTGAGATGGATGGGGATTCACTGAACTACTTGAAAAATACTTGGACATTTCGAGCGAAGGCCCTAATTGTCGGGAAGTTCGAAACCTTCGCTCGAAATGCCGATGTTTTACTCGTATTTTTCAGGTAGTTGAATCCCTCTCCATCTATACTTTAATTTGAGTTTATTTTGTTACTGTTTATACAGTAAGTCGCCTTGGCTATAGAGCCTCGTTTTCGTGATTGAGACATTGGCCTTTACTATAAATGTCATCACACACGAGACCTTATATACAGCCAAGTAACGTACTTTCCGAAAGGTATATTTCTGATTAATTTTGTTTTGCACTTGGACTAAATATCTCGCAACCTCATGATGGAAATATCACATTGCTCAGTCCACTGATCTGTATATACGTACTCATAATGTACTATTGGTTCTGTATGCCAAGACCGTCGGAAGCGGGGGACTGGTGGGGCTTGGGAGCCCCTCCCCCCAATAATTTCCATTTGTATAGGAAAAACACACAAAAGAACTAGGAAAGTGCGAAAGCAATCAGATTTATTCAGATTTATTCTTCAACCCCCTCCCGAAAAATATTGATTTACTATCCGACGGCTTTGGTATGCCTCTCTCATTTTATTAACATTGCGCAAATTAAATTTGTTACTGTTTTCCGCTATTATTTTTAGGATTACCAGAAAGAACATATAAAGCAAGCATTCTATCAATGCAAGTTTTAACAAAGGGACAATTACTGTCAAAGATCATTTTACTGCTATAATGAAGATCTGCAGATCTCATGTTTTATCTCCTTATATGTTAATGGCACGAACACTTACTAGCTAACGGTACAGTATTTTTGTTGCTGGGTACTGTTTTACAAAGTAATACCCGCTATAGTAGAATAAAGCAACACCGCGGTCTGGAAAGATGTCAAACATTGAAATGAGTATAGAAGTAGTGGTGCATTTGCGTTCTACGGCAGATGGTGGTCAACTTCAGAAATGCTATATAGCAAGAAAATTAAAACAGGCTTCTAAATTAAGGATGTATGCATGGCCAATATACATAATATACTAAATATACAATGTAATACAACTATTATACAGGACCATAAAATATATACGGTTACATAATATTATTTTTCCGATTGAAAACTTGTACTGTACCACTATATATATATTTGCTGTACAAATACTTATGGGTATAAATATCAAGATTCTGTTGGCATCTCACTCGATTGAATAATAGTTGAAGGGTTTTGTAGATGGAAATTATCGAGTGGAAGATCTATATACCGGGTGGGGAAAAAAGTACGACAGTTTGATTTACAGACGCAAAAAATAAAAGACTTAATTAATAAGTGACCGTTAATCATACGTTACAACGTTGTACAGATAGACTTTCGTGTTAATATCGACAAGGATGACATGTGGTGGCAGCAAAATGGAACTCCTTCCCATACCAGCAATGCAACAATACAATACCTTCGGGGACATTCCCTGGCCGAGTTATGAGTAAACATGGCGACTGGCCTTGGCCACCTGGCCCACCTCGCTCCCTTAACAGTATGCGAATGTTTTCTTTGGGGCTATTTGAAACATAAAATCTGAATGTGCCACATAATAAGCAACCACACAATTTGAGAGAGCTTCGTGAAGCGATTGTTATACAGCATGCCGCAACTTGGAACAGCAAATGATCCAAAATTCTTTCGATTGTATGATTTTACGGGCAAGACGTTGCATTCGCACTGGAGGACATGCATTTGCTGATGAATAGACGATTTATTTTTTAACCATATCAGCGTGACTATAGAGAGTAATGCGACTTAACACAAATTATCGTTGTATATATTAAAATTTAATAAGACATTTTTAGCTAATTTCGTCAGTTCCAAAAGTGTTTACTCCTGTTTAAATGCGTGTATCTTTGTCAATATGGCATCGAAATGTGCATGGCATATATCAAAATTTAAGTTGGATACCGCTAAATGCCAATAAACTTGTTTTGGAGGCATTTCTCTTTTAGTTTTGATTTTTCAGCAATTCAAACAATCGTACTTTTTTTGCCCCACCCGGGCTGCAAAAATTGCAACTATATATATAGCTAGGCCCTGGCAGGATCGATAAATGTATATAGGTCTAATAAATGTATATAGAATTTCCACTCGATAATTTCCATGTACAAAACCCTCCAACGCACTATACAATCGAGTAAGATGCTAACAAAATCGTGATATTTATACCCATACCTTAACCTGGCAGTACCCGACTAGTACAGTATACTGTGTATCCATGAACTCGTTATTAGAGCTCGACAACTGGACATTCCCATTTACTGTACACATATATGATTCAGTTAAAATAAAATGTCATGCATATACCCGGTATAAGTGTTTTTATAATTCAACAAAATATAGTTTATTTATTATATATAAAGACTGAAAAAAGGTTGGTGAAAATCCTCGAGGAAATGGGCATTTTGCTGTGCTCTATATTGATCACGGATTTAGCCAAGCAAAAACATTTTTGATTACGTATACACTGCAAAAATGAAAGTCTAGCCTAGAATAACATTCTTATATATTTCTACGACTATTTTTCTTTTTTTTAGGAAATTATTTAATTCTTATCAAGAAATATTACAAGAAAATATATATATTGCTTGCTTTAGGACCAAAAATCTTATAATAAGAAAATAATTCTAGGCAAGCATATCCAAATTTTTTTCTCATTTCAAGAATTATATTCTTGGATCATAGAATTATATTCTTATAATCAGAAGAAAAAAAATCTTTGTATGAAATTAACTGATGGATGGAATGTTTGCTACATATTTGGATCAAATCGGCCATGGTATAGATACTTCCCGACGAAGGGCTTTCTCTCGAAACGTCAAAATTCCCCTTGTAATTTTCAGGTTGTTGCATTCTTATCAACCAAAGTTTCGCATATTATTGGCACAACTTACACTGACACAGGCTGTTTAAGATCCATATATGCATGGTATATAGCACGGTATTCCATACGGTCGACATGCACATCATCTTAGCTTTACATAGTTTTGATACCCCCGCCCCCTACAACTTGTAAGGGTACATGCAGGAATCCGATATTTCTCTGCATGAAAAGAAATTGGTATATTCATTCTATTATACTAGTCCTAATTTTTTATTCTTTTTAAATTGTGTATTATATTTGATTTTAACATTTAATATATACCATTACACATGAAAAATAAGTAATTTCATTACTTCAACAGTCCTATACTCATATACATAGCAAAATGTGAACTTCTTGAAGAAGCTCATTATAATATGTGCAGTGCCTCAAAGTACGACTGTATAGGAAGATTAACCTTTCATACACATTGTTAACAAGTTATACTTGATATATATGTGCTGTCCACGTATTCTCACTATCAAAATAGGCCTACCATTATGATAACTCTATTATTTTTTTGAAAAAAAATGCTATTGCTTACAATGCAATCTAGCTAGTCACTCACTATTTAACTTAGTTATTCCATATTGATTATATAATTTATACACCCTTATACAAAGAGCCTATCATAACGTATACACCGATTATTGTAAATGCCTTGACGAAACGTTGAACTTTTACTGACAAAAGTTCAACATTGCAAGTTTCTTATTCTAGGGATAAAAACGGCACCGCCTCTCCTATTGTGCTATTTTGACCAACATAACTTCCAGATGTTGTCTGCTCCTCGCTGATTTCAACCTCACAACTTGGATTGGTCTGTGGCATCACCGATGGCCCTGGATCTTCTTCATTCTCCGCTACCGTGGCGACATCAGCAGCAACCAGAGTACCCGCACGAGTATTTGAATATACCACAGGATTCACAGCATTGTTCTGGTGCCTCTTCCAATACTTTCTGGCAAAGAACACGATAAGCATAAATATTGGAAATATCAAAATTAGAGCAATGATGACGAATATCCCAGAGTTGCGTACGGACTCTTCCGATTTGAGGTGCTCGCTGACTCTAGGAACATCGGCAAACCAACAGAGAGCAGTGGTGATAATAGCCAGTATAAATATGACTGTAAGGATCACATAACAAAAATTAATCTTATAGCAAGACATTTGAAGACAAGGCCAGTACACGACGCAACATGGTATCTGATTCGTTCCTTCCCGGTCGGCGATTTGAATCTGGCAACCATCGTCGCACACTGCACTTGATCGTTGGATATTTTCAACGCCGCGATTGACAAAATCTTGTTGGTTAAACGGCTTAATTGAGACAGGACTCATCTCGGTAGATGTAGTTGGCTCAGATTTAACATCTGCGATAATTCGGCCAATATCTGTTGTTAATGTTTCCAGACCTTCAAATCTCTCGACAAGAGAAACAAGATCACGTCTGTGTATGGCATTTAGGATTTCCTTCAAGTAATTAACATTGTCTTCGCTAATGCTACGTTTTTGACGAAGATGGTTAAACAAATGGTGACCACTTGTTATGGTGGGTTTACGACTTTCCTCAATCCTACAGATGTGAACGAGATCTTCCAAGTCCTTTGGATTCAAATCACGACTTATTTCGTTCAACAGACCATTGAATTTCTCCATGGAAATATACTGTTAGTGTATAATTCGTTATTTTATATAATACACTTAATACAATGCATATATATTTTATACAACAACGAAACGGTATTTTCCCTTGCACATAGCATGTTATTGTTGTAATTGGAGTCGGATAGCAAACAATTTAATGTCTGACGTAGTTACGTTGATAGATAGTTACCATGGCGATAATAACCTGAGACATGAGAACGTAGAGTAGTAGAGCACGAAATTAAAATAACTCCACGGGATGAAAAAATATACGTGTCTGTTTCAAGCTCTAAGTTCAGCTACAATCCTGGAAAAAAATTAGTAGACTTCTTAAATTTTCAAACTTTGTCCCCCTCCCCCCTTATACAATGTTGGTATTTAGGTGACATGTGTTGCAAATCCACTTTACCCGAACCAACATTGTTTCGGGGGGGGGAGGGGGTAATTTAAAGTAAATAGTTGCTTTAATTGAAAAATGCTCACATTTTCATCACATGTTTCCAAATTTGGGTGTATTTTTCGAAAAGTCTACAAATATTTTTTCCAAGATTGTCTGAAAAAATACAACGGATAATCATTTTACCAAGTTAATTGTTCAGTCGTTTTCAAAACATAATTTCAAATTAAAAAGGACTCTATATTAGGAACATAATTCAGGGTTTGATTAAACTTTTTGAAAGCCAGGGGGGTCGGTAGACGGGGGGGGGGGCTTAATGTAGGTGCCCATGTTTTAAGGAAAATTGTGATTAATTTATCCAATAAGGCTGCATTGACAAAAAATATGGCAGTTAATAACAAAAAACTATCAGAGGGACAGATATGGCATATGTAGATTATTACCTTGTACAATATTTCATGACCGTCACATTTTTTCACATATTTTGTCGATCATTAAAATTTTATAGTGCAGAATTGTACCTATAAAGTAAGTTTTAATACGGTTTCAATATGCTTTTATAACGCATGTACCCGTGATTGTCTTAACGAATATCTTATTATTATTTAATAAATGTACAGTCTGAGTAAAATCACTACATGTTACACCATGTTACACCACATGTTACAGTACATGTTACACTAAAAGTTCTATATTTTATTATATATCCTGACATGTTACAACATGTTACACCTACCTTTAAAAATATCTATAGTTCCTTTTAAAAATATAGGTGTAACATGTAGTAACATGTGAAGAACTATAGTAAAGTATAGTAATTTTAGTGTAACATGTAGTGTAACATGATGTAACATGTGAAGATTGAGATTTGTTCTAACCTATAATCGTTGAAAATGTGCATAGAGAACTGATATCCTTAAAAATAAATTAATCCTAACATAATTTAAGACACAACCAACCGATAACGAGCAGAAATATCTCTTAGTTTATTTAATCCAAAGGAACTCAAGAAATCAAGCAGTTATGTGTATTTTATGAAATTAAATTCGCTTATTTTCTGGAGCAAATACTAAGTAAAACATTTTGAAAAGAGTGTTAAACCTAGAGGATTCTAAGTTGAAGCTAATTTTAAATTTACTATACATTCAAAAGTATAAAAACATTTATAATCGTGTCCAAATTCAACGAAATTGCAAGGATAACCCGAGCTGTGGGCGGGAATATACGCCTATTTCCTATAATCGTACCATGGGAAGTCTCCCCCCCCCCGAAAATTGTTTTGGGAGTCTGTTTCTACTGACATATGTGCCACTTGACTTTCATAACAACATAATAGAATAGAAAATTTTATATGTCCAAAAAATTTAATTTCTATCCCTTAAAGGTTAAGGGTTTGGCTTAATTCAGAGACAATTCTGGAAAAAAATTAGTAGACTTCTGAAATTTTCAAACTTTGTCCCCCTCCCCCCTTATACAATGTTGGTATTTAGGTGACATGTGTTGCAAATCCACTTTACCTGAACCAACATTGTTTCGGGGGGGGGGGGAGGGGGTAATTTAAAGTAAATAGTTGCTTTAATTGAAAAATGCTCACATTTTCATCATATGTTTTCAAATTTGGGTGTATTTTTCGAAAAGTCTACAAATATTTTTTCCAAGATTGTCTGAAAAAAATACAACGGATAATCATTTTACCAAGTTAATTGTTCAGTCGTTTTCAAAACATAATTTTCAAATTAAAAAGGACTCTATATTAGGAACATAATTCAGGGTTTGATTAAACTTTTTGAAAGCCAGGGGGTCGGCAGACGGGGGGCGGCTTAATGTAGGTGCCCATGTTTTAAGGAAAATTGTGATTAATTTATCCAATAAGGCTGCATTGACAAAAAAATATGGCAGTTAATAACAAAAAACTATCAGAGGGACAGATATGGCATATATAGATTATTACATTGTACAATATTTCATGACCGTCACATTTTTTCACATATTTTGTCGATCATTAAAATTTTATAGTGCGGAATTGTACCTATAAAGTATGTTTTAATACGGTTTCAATATGCTTTTATAACGCATGTACCCGTGATTGTCTCAAAATTAGTGCTTGTCTTAACGAATATCTTATTATTATTTAATAAATGTACAGTCTGAGTAAAATCACTACATGTTACACCATGTTACACCACATGTTACAGTACATGTTACACTAAAAGTTCTATATTTTATTATATATCCTCACATGTTACAACATGTTACACCTACCTTTAAAAATATCTATAGTTCCTTTTAAAAATATAGGTGTAACATGTAGTAACATGTCAAGAACTATAGTAAAGTATAGTAATTTTAGTGTAACATGTAGTGTAACATGATGTAACATAATGTAACATGTGAAGATTGAGATTTGTTCTAACCTATAATCGTTGAAAATGTGCATAGAGAACTGAAAACCTTAAAAATAAATTAATCCTAACATAATTTAAGACACAACCAACCGATAAACGAGCAGAAATATCTCTTAGTTTATTTAATCCAAAAGAACTCAAGAAATCAAGCAGTTATGTGTATTTTATGAAATTAAATTCGCTTATTTTCCGGAGCAAATACTAAGTAAAACATTTTGAAAAGGGTGCTAAACCTAGAGGATTCTAAGTTGAAGCTAATATTAAATTTACTATACATTCAAAAGTATAAAAACATTTATAATCGTGTCCAAATTCAACGAAATTGCAAGGATAACTCGAGCTGTGGGCGGTAATATACGCCTATTTCCTATAATCGTACCATGGGAAGTCCCCCCCCCGGAAAATTGTTTTGGGAGTCTGTTTCTACTGACATATGTGCCACTTGACTTTCATGACAACATAATAGAATAGAAAATTTTATATGTCCAAAAAATTTAATTTCTATCCCTTAAAGGTTAAGGGTTTGGCTTAATTCAGAGACAATCCTGGAAAAAAATTAGTAGACTTCTTAAATTTTCAAACTTTGTCCCCCTCCACCCTTATACAATGTTGGTATTTAGGTGACATGTGTTGCAAATCCACTTTACCTGAACCAACATTGTTTCGGGGGGTGGGGGAGGGGGTAATTTAAAGTAAATAGTTGCTTTAATTGAAAAATGCTCACATTTTCATCATATGTTTTCAAATTTGGGTGTATTTTTCGAAAAGTCTACAAATATTTTTTCCAAAATTGTAGCCAGATTGGAATGTCAATCTAGTCTCAGTAATCCTTATACTACCCAGATTGCAATTTGATTATAATCTCAATAGTTCTAGTAGTACCCCGATTAGAATAGAATTTAATTCTAAACTCCGTTGTTCTTATACTAGCCAGATTGCAATTTGATTCTAATCTCAACTGTTCTAATATCCCAACAAGATAGGAAATTGATTCTAATCTCCACAGTTCCTATACTAGCCAGGTTGGAATGAAAATCTAATCTCAGTAGTGCTTATACCAGCCAGACTGGAATGTAAATCTAATCTCAACAGCTCATATACAACCCAGATTGGAATTTAATTCTATTCTCAGTAGTTCTTATACTTGCCAGATTGGAATGTAAATGTAATCTCAAGAGTTTTAATACAATAAGTCGCATTGGAATGTAAATCTAATCTCAGTAGATCTTATACTACCCAGATTGGAAGTTCATTCTAATCTTTGTAGTTCTTATATTACCCAGTTTGGAATTTGGTTATAGTCTCAAAATTTCTTATACCAGACAGATTGGAATTTGATTCTAATCTCAACAGCTAAAGCTCATATACTAGCCAGATTGGAATTTAATTCTAATCTCAATAGTTCTTATACTAGCCAGATTGGAATGAAATTCTATTCTGAACAGTGTTAATACTAGCCAGATTGGAATGTAAATCTAATCTCAGTAATTCTTATACTACCGAATTTACGATTTGATAATAATCGCAACAGTTCTTATAGTACTCAGTTTAGAGTAGAATTTAATTCTAATCTCAGAAGGTCTTATACTAGCCAGATTGCAATTTGATTCTAATCTCGACTGTTCTAATATCCTAACCAGATTGGAAATTGATTCTAATCTCAACAGTTCTTATACTAGCCAGATTGGAATGTAAGTCTAATCTCAGTAGTTCTTATGCCAGCGAGATTGGAGTGTAAATCTAATCTCAACAGCTCATATACTACCCAGATTGGAATTTAATTCTAACCTCAGTCATTCTTATACTAGCCAGATTGGAACGTAATTCTAATCTCAACAGGTTTAATACAATGAGCCAGTTTGTAATGTAATTCTAATCTCAACAGTTTTAATACAATGAGCCAGAGTGGAATTTAAATCTAATCTCAGTAGCTCCTATAGAATAGCCACATTGGAACTTGATTATATACTCTACAGATCCTATACTTGCCAGATTGACATTTAGTTCAAATCTCAACGTTTCTTATACCAGCCAGATTGGAATTTGATCCTAATCTCAACAGCTAAAATTCATATACCGGCCAGATTGGAATTTAATTCTAATCTCAGTAGTTCTTATAGAAGCCAGATTGGAACAAATTTTAATCTGAACAGTTTTAATACTAGCGACATTGGAATGTAAATCTAATCTCAGTAATTCTTTACTACCCA